TGCACTCGTTGACAGCACATAGTGTGGGGGTGAGCGAGTGTACTTGTCAAATGGCAAAACACAGCCCCATGGTGGCGTCGCATAACGCTGTCATTTAGGAAGTAACAACGAGACAGTCTCCCAAGGTATGCCCTGGGGGCTGGGAAGCCGCGTCGGGACGAAGCGAGCCGACTAGGCCGCTTTAGATGGGACCTCGGGATACATGCATGGACCTGGCAGTCATCTTCGTCACGACTTTGGGTCCAAGTCCAAGCGCGTCGACCAAAGAGGTGGGGGTGGCTTAAGGCTGTGCAACACTGTCATCATCATCGAGGTAATGTCGATGAAGTCAATGAGCTGTTGAAACATGCCGAGCTCCAATTGGGGTCCGCAACCAGCTGGGAGTATAGTGGAAGAATTGTGAGAAGATGAAACCGTGATAATTCATGTCCGAAACTCACAAAGACATCTAGAACAACGGAAGAGCCCCTACTTCTATTGACATGACTGCTAGCGTCAGGCACCGGACTGGGAGATGAGACGGATCGCTGCTCATTTCGCGCACGGAAGCGACCCGCACGCACAGAAGATCGGATCGATTGGCGAAGCCGCGGCAACGCAGCTGGGTGTCATCTCGGTAGTTGTCGTGAGGTGGCCAGGTACAGGTCGTGGTCCGCGGCATACGATCGTGTTTGAGAAAAGTAAAGATCGTTGACGTAGATGCGGGCGCTAAGCATGGACTTGACGCGATATCACATGACCAAACCATCATCACGACTACCTAGTATGCGGCCCAGCGATCATCGGATCCGGGTACGAGTAGCGCTCCGTCACACCGCTCACAGAGAGAGGTGCGACAGCGCTCGCGGGGTAGACAAAGGCGCTGGTCGCGATTGGGTCTCGTGAGCCTCAGCAGATAACGCAAGAGGATGCATGTCATCTCCCGGGGCTGCCATTGGCGCGCGAGGTTACGCAGAGATGTGAGGGTTCGCATCGGCTGCAGAGTAGAGTGAAATTGTTGATGGCACACAGGAAGGTGTGTCGAAGCAAAGGCGCCTCGTGACGCTTGTAGCGCCACCCAGCAACGCGTGGGCTTGACTTGACATGTTACTCAACAAATCTAAAACGAACCACGACCTTGTGGGAAATGCCCGCAGCCCGTCAGATGCTCGCACCGCGGAGCAGAGGCATTGCTAGCAGAGTGATCAGTGCTTTCGTTGTCGATGTCTGTCTTTGTCGAACAAAGCAAATGCGTTATTCCATGGCCCGCGCCAGCCGTGCAAGCTGCGACGGTGGAAAGTACGGTGAGCAAGCCAATAGTTGAGACAGGGTTGCTTTGCCTGCCTCAACTGCAGCACCCCTTGGCAGCCTCTCTCACCATGACGTATGAATCGAACGACAAGGGTAACCCACCCCCAGCGCGCCCGAGATCTAGCCTAGTAAAAGTCAATCGGCGGATTGACACCTGCAAACAGCCAATCTGCCACCCAAATTTGCTCGAGTCGGCGAGCTGCGCGCAGTCGGTCCCAAGTTCCGCAGCGTGCGCTCTGCGAAGGGGTGTTGCCCAACCGCGAGCGCAACGGCCGGGGGTTTTCGAGCAATCGGAATCGAGGCGGCACAAGCGAGCCTGTGTGTGCATCTAACAGGGAACGGCGAGGCTGCAGCACGTTTATCGTGAATGCGGGAAACACTAGTTGGGGCACGGTGCAGGGTGCTGTATTGAGGGGAATCTGTCGGCCCGCGCTTGCTCTCACCTAGTGGCGCTATGATAAGCTGTTGCCCGTAAAACCTTGATTCCCATCCTCTGTTATTATGCGAAACTCGTCCTCCTCCATTCTCTACTAATCGTAATACCGCCATCATGCCTCCTGATCCAAAGGACGCGCCGTTCCCCACCAAGCAGCTCCTCATTCTCGGTATGTATGGCGGCTGCAGGTGATGTCATGTTGATTGGACCGTCGCTGACCACCGCTTAGGGATATGCCGATTCTCCGAGCCTCTCGCCTTCAACTCTATCCTCGCCTACTCACCTTTTATGGTGCGGGACCTGGGTATCAGCAAACACGATGCTTCATTCTACGCGGGACTCTTGGTGTCAGCGTACGCCATCGCCGAGGCCATGACGGCCCCATTATGGGGAATGGTGTCTGATGTGTACGGCCGGAAACCTGTCGCGCTCATTGGCTTGCTCGGTGTCGCCGCATCCAGTCTCATGTTCGGTGTTGCGGAAACGTACTGGGTCGCTCTGCTTGCGCGCTTCATCGGGGGTGCACTGAATGGAAATGTCGCAATCATGCAAACTATGGTCGCTGAGTCGGTCAAGAACCCAGCCCACGAGCGTAAGTAAATCGCGCAGCCCGCATCAGGCAGGTCAAGCTAACACGAGATAGCGCGCGCATATGCCACACAACCCTTCGTCTGGACGGTGGGCGGTATCATCGGTTCGGCCATGGGTGGTTTCCTCGCTCAACCAGCCCGACTTTACCCCAACGTTTTCGACCAGGATGGCATTTTCGGACGCTACCCGTATCTTCTGCCTAACCTGATCGCCGCTATTGGAATCCTGCTCGCCATTCTCCAGGGTATGATCTTTTTGGAGGAGACCCTAGTCCGGGAAGAGAAGCCAGAGGGAGAGAACGGCATCGAGGACCACCACGATTACCACGACCATCTGGACACCATCAACGAGACCCCCGCAAACGAGCGCAGCCGTCTCCTTCCCCCGCCCTCAAATCACCAGCATGCGAACCGCGACGCCCGAGGCTCAACCGCTGGCTCGATGAGACATCGTGGCTCCATGTTGAGCGTTACGCGCGACCGATTGGCCTCCATGTCAGTTTCTGGCAGCATTAGACAGATCCGCAAACGAGCTTCTTTCTTGGAAGAGGGCATGCCCATGCCTTTCGCGCAAAACTTCGACATCCGCCGCTCGTCTTTTGGAACCATGCATTCAATCAAGGTCCAACAGGATGTGCTCCCGATCCGAGGTGGACCAACCCCGAAACCCCGAAAGACGTTCAACCGAACTGTAGTCATGATTGTTCTCGCAATGGCCATCTTCGCTTTCCATCAGATGGCCTTCATCTCGATTCTCCCCGTTTACATCCTGGACACACCTGCGAACAAGGGCCTGGATTTCCAGGGTGGACTAGGACTGGACTTGCCCGATGTTGGAAAGTTCCTTACAGTTAATGGCTTCATCACGCTCTTCGTCCAGGGTTTCATTTTCCCTCCATTTGTTGAGTGGGTTGGTGTCTGGAACTCCTTCATCTGGATGATCATCCTTTACCCGATTACATACCTCATCGTACCTTTCATCAGCGCTCTTCCCCACGGACTCATTACCCCGGGCATTTACGTTTCGCTTTTCTTGCAGGCGTTCTTCGGTATCATTGTCTTCCCATGCGCCCTGATCCTGATGAAGAACGCCGTTCCTTCACCTCTGGTACTTGGTCGTGTCAACGGTATCGCCATGTCAGCGTGCTGCTTAGCGAGAACAATTTCGTCTCCCCTGATCGGATTGATCTACTCGCTCGGCGGATCTGCAGCAGCCTGGTTCGCTCTCGCTGCCGCGGCCATCTTCGGCATGATCCAGCTCTTCTGGGTCCCCAAGGAAGACGTCGGCGCTGTTCAAATCGACAACGCCCTCAAGAAGGTTATACATCACGACATGGACGAGGATGCGGTAGACGACATTTCCATCATTGAGTCTGTACGATAACAGAGTTCAAAACGATTACGACAGCAACAAGTTTGAAAAGCGGTGGATCTTGGAGTAATATCTAGAGCGTCTTGATTTCCGACACTGCATGTCTTTCGGCGTTGTATTGGTTTTCCTCGACATATTCATGTCTAGAGTGCCTGGTCTTCTATGTTCTTCACTGATGCCAGCATCACAGCATTTTTTCCTTTCTTGCATAGCGCGTTGATAGAGCTCAATGCCACTCATGTTGCGTCTTGGACTGATCTCGACCCTGGAATCCTTGTGTGTGATGCTTGACAGTCGATATATACTTGGGTATCGGCCCGCTTGGGCAGTCCGTGCAACTTACCTTGAGTACGCACAGACAGCTGCCTACTGCACGTCGATCTAGGCCCGCTGTGGGTCTTACCACCCGGTTGGTGTTGCAAACGGAATGGCGGACATCCGGTATGGTGATCGCGGGCCATTCGCTGGCCAGCCCGTGTGAGTTGAGAAGCTGGCACGGCGTACGACTCTCAATAGGGGTTTAGCATTCTGGCGATGAAAAATCCTAACAAGAACCACGACATGAGCAACGAAAGCCCACAGATGGTTTGCAGGCATCCTGAATTGCGCTGGAAGAACATCTCAACTATACTAGCTTCCTTGACATGCAACAGCGGCTGGGTATATCTGGGTAACTTCGTTCTGCGTTTTAGGGCTTTGTGTCGGGAACCTACTACAGCCCTCTTTCCATAGTTTGGACCTGTATTCCATTTTGCGTAAGTAGTAGCGGTTGCTGGATTGCGGAGTTGGCGGACCAAGTGAACGTAAGTTTGTAGAGAATGACACCCTCGAATCTTGGTGGAAGTTGGCATGCTAGCTCCAGTAACCCCTCATGGTTCGTGAAAATATTACTCAGCGGAAGTGTAGAGTAAGAAGATGCTTGGTGAGTAATCATCGCATTGTGAGTTCGCGATGTGCAGGATATTTCCCCAGTAAACAGGCCATGCCGTGAGCCCTTACCGCAGCTCCAAGAAAGGTAACCTCCATTATTTGCAAGTCACGATACGCCATTGTGAAATTTCGTAATTGCGGCGCATCGTCACTATCGCGGGTGTGGGTGAAAGCTATGGCCGCCTGATCGCGAATGAAGTTCGCCGGCTGCACGACGTCCGACTCCCGGCTTGGCAAGAGCCTGCATGTCCCCCGAGGTAAGCTGGCCTTCGCCCGTTCGCAGCTGCCCTACCTCGCCCACTACTTCTCGATTGCTTGCACTTTTGGTGATGCTTCTCTAGCAGAAGCGACTCACTATGACGCTTGACGCGGCAGCCCGACCATGGATCATTGGGGCGACCCGTGGGCAGACAACAATGCCGACGAACAAAAGTCGCCGACGAAGCACGAGGTGACCTCACCACCGCCGCCTACCCTTGCGCCTGCACCGGTGCTATTGAATGGCTTTCTGGACGATGCTGGGTGGGGGAATGAGGACGAGAGCTTTGGTGACTGGACTACGTCATCTGGACATGATGCCGCTGTTACCACGCTCACGGAGACGCGCATAGCTGAACCCAGTCCACTGAAGGATGAGAGGGCAATTGACGACGGGCCGCGTTGGGATCTTAAAGAAGAGAGCGAGCACACATCGCCGACACGAGAAGACGCGTGGAGTGGACAAGAAGATACTTCCGATGTGGACAATGTAACCTCGGACACTTCCGACACGTCGACTACGATACAGCCGGACACGTCTCCCAGTCAAGACGCGGTCGCTCCTGCGAATCGATTACAGCCCGACGATGACTCTTCCGCACGACCTTCCACGTCCCCATCCGAGACGAGCCGCACTGAAGCGCCGGTCGAATCGCCACGGACATCATTTGAAGAAGAGGCTGCGAACAGGCTGCAGACTGCAGTGGATGAGCCGAGTCCTGAGGAAGTACACGCGGCAGCAAGCCATGAGGATAGTGACGTAGATGCTTCAAGCTCAAGTAGCGACAGCACAGACGATGAATTCGGGACGTTCACGCAAGATACTCTATTGACGGAAGCTCCTTCTGGTCCACCGGAAACCACACAGAATTCTGAAGGAGATCCGAAAGAGACGCCGGAGGGATCAGCCGCTTCCCGATCTGGATCGCCTGTAGCCTCTTCGAGTGCCGCTGCTGCCTCATACGATGCCGATACCTACCAACTCGATACAGACCTCTTCAACGAGCTTTTTCCTTCCAGCGACGATACAAGGGAACTAGAGGAGGCACCAGATGATCCTATATACTCAACATCTGGGCGCAAAGCTTGGTACAGGCTCACGCGCAAGCAGACCATGAGGGAGTTCAACAGCGGGAATGCAGACGACAACTACATTCGGGTCACATGGGCAGGCTCTCAAGTCAGGTTGGAAGTGAACAAGACCGTAGCAAGATGGGCACGCGAAGACCGCCTCTCTGGCACAGGTCCAGGAGCCAGAGCTTCGTTCTACTGGGACACGCCTGCGCCTCCTGAGCCCAAGACAGCAAGAGGACATCTGCGCACGAAGACTACCATTCCTACGCCACGAGCAGTTGAAGTTGCACCAGCTCGACAAAGCATGCCTCCAGTGTCCACTGACACCCCGGCTGCGTTCAACTGGAGTTCTCCAACTACTACAGTGGACCCGTGGAAGCAGGACAGTCCCGGTTTACCGCCTATGATCCCGCCTGTCGCGCCTAAGCATAATGCTGTCGAAATTACACAAGCGAATGAGCTTCGTGCAGTTTCAATTGACCTGACACGCGATGTTGGGGAAACACATGGGCAAACGCCGAGTGAAACGCCGGTCGTCGCAACGAAAGCAATCCCACCTCCTGAGCCAACCACAACCTCTTCAAGTCCTTGGGGAGACATTGCTGCTCTCGACACCAACACTTCCAATCGGGAACAACGTACGGATGTGCCTACAGAAGATGACGATGATTGGGGTGAGATGATATCAAGCCCTACAGTATCCACTTTCCCCTCAGCCTTTCCAAGCTCCATACTAGCGACGCTCGACAGTACGGTGTCGAATTCGGCATCACCACCAAAGACTCCACCAACTCAGGACCGCTCAGCCGAAGCAATGCATATCGTGCGTCTGCGAAGTACCATATCGCCAACATCAGCGATCTTTGGTCCGAAAAGTTTCGTTCCATTCCACGCTGAACAAGGACCTATTGGACCTGGACTCTTGAAACCCGCCAAGCGCTCTGTCTCTGCCACGTCGGAGAAAAGCAAAGTCGACGTTCCGTCCAAACCGATTTCAGAAGTCATTCCACAGGAGGAAGTGAAATCTGATGTATTGCCGGCACGCGACGCGGATGATACAACCGAGATCGCTACCAACGAGGTGAAGGTCGAAGAGCCTAGTACGAACGGTACGGAAGATGACGACTTTTCTGCGTTTACGTCTAGTACACGTGAGCCGGAATCTGCCAGGCCTAGCACTCCGCCTTCAGCACCCATAGTACGAGATGAACCTCCTATAGATGCTTGGGCGGACGCCGATTTCTCTTTCTTCGAATCCGCTCCTGCCACAAAAGCGTCTGCGCCAGCCACGCGCGATCCATCAGATCCCTTTTCCGTCTTCGAGACTCCTCCAAGACCGAGCAGTGCTGCATCTTCCGCGAAGACATTCACACGGTCTCCTCCGCGGAATGTAACCCCTCCGCCCATCCAGCCGCTTACTGGGGCTACGAACTCTGCGCAACGACGGAAAAACGATGAAGAACAGGTTATCAAGAGCATTCTGGCTGGGCTACCAGACTTGAGTTATATGTTGCGTAGATGATGTATCGTTGTTTAGATGGTTGTATACATGCTGTCCCTTGCATTTCACATGGCGTTTTCGGGTGCTTGGATATCCATGGTCGTTTTTAGCATTGCTGGCATAGGTCACAGGGTCTTGTGACAAGAGCGTTCCTGAGTACACGTCCAATCTTCATATCATTACTATCACTTAGAGGTGCATATGTCCACGATATCGTATCGGCTGTCCTTGCTTTCACATCATCTCTTCATTCCGTTGCACACTCCCGTTCACTTCTTTCTCGAGCACTTCACTCACTGCAGTTAGCCATCGCCGCTCTCAAATCGCCATCGCCGGACAGCCACTCCCCTCAGCACTTGAGCCAGAGGTTCACTTCCAATCGGCACACTCTCCCTCGATTCAATACTTCCTACCGAAGCCTCTTCGACCTAAACCACACCCTCCCTCAACTGGAGCACTGTTTAGACACACAACGTCAACCACTCCTATCCTCAACTCTACTCGACAAAGCTCTTACCAAAAGATAGCAAAACACAATGGGAAAACATTACCACGTTCGTCATCATAGTACCGGCGAACGCTATACAGTCACCGTCCCTGCCGACATCTCCCCCGCCTCCGTGCGGTCGACGTATGAAGCTGAACACTGGAGGACTCGAGAGACAAGCTACGGAAGCGGCTCAAGGCACGATACTGATGACTTTCGATTCCCAAATCGAGTAGTACTGCCAGATGGTTTGGTGCCCATCGATGGCTCACGCTACGAACCCATTCCGACTCATCCCGGAATGCTATACCCTCCACCCAATCGACACGGTCCCCATTACACCATCCCCCCGTTCCCCCAACCAGTCTCCTCTCCACCACAGCGACACGTCTCCTTCGCACCCGACCCACGAAGTGACCCTCCCCCCAGCTACCCACCTCATCCTCCTCACTTTACCCGCGGACGACACGGCCCAGGCCACTCCCGCAGCAGGAGTGCACCCGTAAATCCTTTCGAGGGCTCACACCACAGTGGGAATGTTTCGAACAGGCTCGCCCAACTTCCTCAGTATGCTCAACAACACCCTCGGTTCGATGAGGCGAGGCATGCTATGCAGATGATATGGAGGTATCCTAGAGATGATCCTAGGGCAGTGCCGTGGCAGGTGGTGCTTAGGGAGATTACGGAGGATATGGAAAGGGGGGGTTGGGGAAGGTAGGCGTGCGGTGTGGGGAAGCTGTGGGGAGGTTGCGGAGTTGGGAGGAGGTTGGGAGATGCCTATTCTTGCTTGCTATTTGCTTTTCGCGCTCATGGAGGTGTGACCTTTCTATCATATCATCGCAAACCGTTTGTTGATTCACCGCCTCAGCTATGTATAAGAGCTGCTCTCGAATCCTGACCTCTCATCTTCGAAACGAAACATCAATCATCAACACGACAATGAGTTCAACGGCTCGATCCAACGAACCCCCGCCCTATGTACCACCGAAAGTCCCAAACCATGTCATACTCGCAGTCGTCCCGATACAGTTCGTGGTGGCATGTGATACCATCCTAAGAGCAGCACGAGAAGCGATCATGAATAATACGAATAAAGACCACTTCGAAAAGAACCCAAGCGAATGCACGCTTTATGATTCCTACTCCGTAACTCAACAGATACTCCAAATTGACTACACTTGGCCTCTGGTCGTTGATCGAGATGCGCCCCTGGCCACGAACATACACAAGATAGAGGCGGAGGCGCGCATGTGGCTAGACAACTCCCCGCTCTTCATCCAGCATCGCAGCGATCTGGAACTTTACCTCAAAGCTCCGATCACCTTCAAACCGAGACGCTATATCGTGGATAATGGTGGTCTTTTACAAATGAGGGAAGAGAGGATTGGGCTTCGACAGCAGTTCCCTGAGATTTACCTGAACTGCTCACTTTCGGTCGAGGACTTGTGTTCCGAAGAACATAGGAAAGCGTATCGAGAGTATTTGACTATGCTGGCTTGGGTTGAGAAGGCGCCACGGGAGCGCATGTATATCAGTGCACCGCATTTGGACGTCCCTTCTCCACCTGATCCCTTCGAGTATAATCCACCGGGATATAGATGGTGAATCTTGCAAAGGGGTTGATTCTAGTTGATAGCAGAAGACCTTGGCTCGATCGAGAGTAATATCAATGTCAAGACGCTCAACACTCTTGCCCATTTATTTGTCATCACACTCGTCTATTTCTTTCTGTCGCTATTGAGAAACAGTTTCATGGAAACTCTCCAGCGGTGTGCGATTTACAGTTTCAGCCTTGTCAGTAGACTAATGAGACTGCTCATTTACTCGTTACCTAGGTAGCCTTCACTGCCTAGGTGACTATCAGTTCAGAACCGTGCGGGGTTTAACGTTCGATTGCTCTAGCGGCACTCACGTAAGTCAGTCCCCATATAAAAACTACAGAATCCTGATACTTTCGTTCTACCCCATCACGTTCGTGCAACAATGGCCTCGCTCAACTACACACCATCGCTCCCCACCATGGCCGCGTCCTTACAGAGGATGGTGAAGTTCGCCATCTTCCCCATCGAGACTCTTACCTCCTGCATTTACATCCTCGCTAAAGTCTATACTATCATATCTAACAGCACATCTTCAATTGGCATTTCCTCGATCTCAGATGTTAGCGAGATGTTAGCGCATTACATCAAAGCGAAAGAGCTAGTGGACTCCAAAGACACCATCTGGCCGCTCATTGTCAAAGAGCAATCGCACATTTACAACAACATCACCGGGATTATAAAGACTGCAATCGAGTGCCTTGTGGGCTCCTTCTTCGGATCGTTCGTGGAGGAATGCGAGAGGCTCAAGATATACCTGAAACCTCAGCGAAGCTTTTCCGCCAGCGGATTGGCCATACATCGAGATGGTACCGTTCTGAAAAGGGATCTCATCGTTCTGGAGCAGCGCAGGGTTATGGACGCCTACAAGAATGACCCCAATCGACCGGAGTGCTTCTGGCTCCCAGATCACCACAAGCAGGAAGATTTCGAGAACTTCCTGATGACATTGGCCTGGATGAAAGAGGACCCTCTCCGGCGTATGTTCAGCAAGGAGTTCAGGGGAGCCTACCTGGAACATGTACCAGAAGTCCAGGACGGTACAGCGTCCGACCACGTCAGTCTGACCGGTAAGGAGACGTTCTTTTCAGCATTCAAGCTTATATCTAATACGGTGCTAGACACCGAGTCCGTTGTCGACACGTTCACTCCGTCGACCACTCGTACTGCTTCGCCAGCTCCCACCGAGCGCCTATAGGACATGTGGTGGAATAAGAAGTAGTTATGGATCATTCCATACTTGATAGTTGTAGTGAAACATAACATGGGAGGGCGCTGCCAGATCCAGGATGCTTACATCTCGCTCAACTGCCTTAGTGTCGTTCTTAAACGATACGTGATGTTTTCCCGGCTGCTGCCTTCCTCATTAAGGGTTCACTGCTAGGCAAAGCGATCTAGGCCAGCGCGTCGATAGCGCAATATGATGAGTACCGGTATGGTACCTCCCACCTCCTGCTCGATCGCTCGATCCGGAAGTGACTTCCCCATTAGTGTTCACCGCTAGGTGAAACCTCGCAGGACCCTGGAAATCGCGACTGCCCTAGTGAGTAATGCTCCAGTTAGAAAACACTGCGACCTGCGGCTTCCGTCTCCGCACCTTTACCTCCCCTCGGAAACCGCCAACGACTTAATCGCACGCGCCTCGCAAGTATGGACAGCAATACTGCGCAGATGACTGCTTCCGTCTTCTTTCCTGTACAAACCATAGTAGCTTGCAACTACATCTTCTACACCGTCGAGATCGCCATTCTTGAGGACTCCAACCGAGAAGACACAGCTGAGATCGGTAAATCTCTTGCTGCTGGCAGGCTCATGCTCGAGAAGGTTAAGACGTGGCCAGCCATGTTCAAGATGCACTCAAAATGCCATCGAAGCGTTACCAAGACCATCAAACTCGCATCATCGTGGCTAGAGCGCTCCCCGTTGTTCGATGCGAAGAAGGTGGAGATCCTCAAGCAGTACCTGGAGGAGCAGCCCGGTTTCTCCGCCAGCGGTCTAAAGTTCAACAAGGACGGTGTCCTCCTGAATCGAGACTCTCTTCTTCTCGTGCAGTCCTTGTACCCCATTGACATGGAATGGGATAATTCTTCGTGGTGCCTCAGCGACGGCTGCATGCTCAGATATCGAAAGTTCGTGACCCAGTTGCTCTGGGCACGAGAAAATCCGGCAAGTAGGATGCTTGCGCCGGGATTCAAGGGTCTGTGGGAAGAGCATTCAGTACAAACATGCGACAAGGATATCTTCCAGCGGCTCGAGGGCTTGAACATCACCGGTGTGTGTATCTTACTGTCTCTAGGAATCCCCAACTGACCATCGCTAGATGACGCGACCACTGCCGGTACACATACACCATCGACCACTCGCCCTAACTCTCCAGCCCTGACTGAGCGCCCAGACGGCACCACCAACGGCGAGTCACCCGAACTTGGGACTCCTCTGGCACCCATGCTCAAATACATCGCTGTCATCGAGACTGCCACCGACAAAGCCATCTTCAACCTCGATATCTCCGACGTGAACGAGAAGAAACGCAGGCTCATGAGGACCGCGCAGGGCATGTGCACTGACACGGTCTCCAACGGATATGAAGGCAAGGTCAAGTTGCAGGACATCATGGACATGGTGGTGAAGATCGCGGAAGATGTGAGACGTGCGAAAGCTGCAGCAACTGTCTCAGCTTCATCCGCGCTCGCTCACTTGTCAGACAGATGATGAGAGATGGCATGATGAGAAGGCCCACGAAACCGCAGAATCTCGACGCGAAAAGGAAACTTAGTAGCTAGACGAGGGAACTGCGTGAATTGAAGATGTTCGCATCCCCAAAGTAGTCACACAAGAATACATAATGTTCATGTCAAGTTCTTTTCTAATCAGAGGATTCGTGAGCTTGCGGTTATGCTGGACAGTTACGTAGCTCATGAGCGAAACCAGCGTGTTGTGCCCTGCAGCTTTCAGGCGCTCAAGTCCATCGCATCCCCAATAGCAGCCCTCTTGGACCCAAAGCGCGCATCCAACTTCCTGATGGTACTCTGCCTCACCTCCTTGGAAGGCCAACCCTCATTCGGCACTCTAACCTTCTTGTCTCCCCTCAACTGCACGGGCACCGGGATATTCTCTCCAGTCTTGCTATTCCCATACCCATACATGACAAAGTCAAGATAGTACTGCTGTACATCCAGGCCCCGACTGATACTCTCGGCGATGACCAAATCCAAAGCATGCGGCATCCTCTTGCCATCTTCGTTCCAGCCCTCCAGACTCAGTAGACCCCACTGGTCTTCCAACACGCTATGGTCTTCTACGTCTTCGAGCCAGGGATGCGCTTCGAAGTCAAGATCGTCCATGAGGTATGTTGCGACGACCATCGCACTGGTTGTGTCGTAGTTGAACTTCATCTTGCCACTGAGCGCTTCCCACAGCGGAGTCAAGCTCTTCTGGGCGAGCAGCATGGGGCCCAGCTGACAGACGCCGTTGCCCAGTATGGGATCGGAAAAGCGCATGTCGAGCTTCATGAAGAAGAGCTGGATATTGATGAGATCGGCATCGGTCCAGATATCGGCGTCCTCAAGGAAAGACCGACGCGTTCTCGATTCCTTGAGCTCCATGACGCACCAGTACTTCATCAGCGCGCCCTCGCAGGCCTTTGGTACGCGATGGCCTTCCAAAGCAAGACATGTGAGAATGCTGCGTACGACCTTCTGGCGATAGACTATCATGCCAACCCAGCGAAAGCCTGGTACGTCGCGCGCTAGCCACTCGCGGCCGTCCATGGGTCGGAGCATGGGGTCGGAGATGCATGTACGGGGGTACAGTACCCAGCTGAAGATGTGGCCTGCGAGCGGCGCATGATAGCGGGCGTAGTCGTGTATCAGAGAGACGCTGTATAGGTTCAGACGGTAGTGGAACTCCTTGTCGATGGCGTAGAGGTCGACGATTGAAGGGTAAGGTAAGCGAAGCGCGAACTGGAAGAAGAGGTTCGGGTGGCGGATGATGGCCTTGTAGACACTGAAAAGCTGCTTCGGCGCAGGTCCACCGGTCGAAGTTTGGGGTATGGGCGTGGAGGGTATGTCTGGGCCCCAGATCTCAGCGGCGATGTTGTGACGGCGATGTTGGCGGCGGCGGACGACGGTAGGCGTATTACTCTCGGTTGTGGAGGAATCCTGAAGCTTGGCAGTAGTTGGAGAACCATCTTCGACTGCTCGTTTGTTTTTCCCTTTCGCGTTCGCGTTGAGATAGAGCGGGCTTGGTGGAGGCTCCATGATTGTCGTAAAGCTTGACCTCGTGACCTGGTATCACCTAGGTGAGACCAAGGTGCGCTCAAGAAAATATGCGAAAATCAGTTCGAAGATGTACTCTCATCCAGTTCAGGGTGACCGAGTGCGTAGTTTAGGGTTTTCGCGCACAATAGTTGCAGTTAAGACGGCGGAGAGGCAAACAATAAGGCTGTCAGGTCGTCGTGCCAACAAAACAGCGGGACGCCCAGGCAACCAACTACACAGCAAATTCAGAGCACCTGAGATGAGAGTAGAACTAGGCGACTGCCCGGAATTTTAGGGAGACTGTACATTAAAATTTGCGATACTCGTTGCAGAAGCGTGGATCAAAAAAGAAGATTTGCGCGAACGGAGATGACAGCTCGCCCCGACTCCAGCATCCGCATGGATCCCAACCCTACTGAATGAACATGAAATATACGAAATAGAAAGGAGCAGAACTGTATACTATACCGTGGCAGTGAAATCCGACATATGCACTCATCATTGCTGCAGGCACGCGATGCTCCAGGCTCTTCCTCTCAGAGGCGCTTCTCATATGAGTTACATTGTGCTCACACGTTCGCCTCCAACGGAACGCATTTGCTTCAACAGGTTCGGTGATGGCTATCTGGGGGTGTTGAAGGTGTATGTGAAGGGGTGGGTGGGTGAGTGGACGACGCGTCAACGTCATTGGCCCGTGCGCTGCAACCCCCGCCTCGGCCCCTCGTCGTCGTCCCTGCATAATCTGATAATTTAGTTCGCCGTGGGAAAATCGCGTTCCGCACGCATCACAACAAATTCTCCGATTAACGACTTCGTAACACAGTCGCCGAACACGGCTACCCCATATCGCCTGCAGTACGTGTTTGCTCTCGGCCCGAAATCAACGCCTTCCGCCACGCGATTATTGACTTGAGATATCTAGGACATCTTAGGCATCCATATTCTAATCATTGAATCAACCCAAGTAGTACAACCACCGATCATCGCCATAAAGCCGTCTCTTCAGAGTATACGACAGCCTCCGCGATCGCGTACCACGCGCATCATGACATCCAATCTTCTGGCCACAGCGACCTCGGCGCTCCCCAACGAACTCGCTCTCGTCGTAATCGATCATCTCCAAGGCAACAACAAGGCACTATGCGCTCTCGCTCGGACATGTCGCGATATGCAAAACCTCGCAGAAGAGCGACTCTACAAGCGAATCGAGCTTCTATCCGTAAAGAACCTCCACGCCATCATCGAAGCCTTCACATCGCGTCCTGAACGCGTCCGCGCCGTACAAACCCTCAAGATCTTGTATTCATACAAAGACGACAGTTTAAAAGACAGCGCCGAGATAAGGACCACTTTCAACGAGTGCGTAGCTCGTATGGTCAACCTGAGGGAGTGGCATATTGAGAGCCCGTACGATAACTTCCATTGGGAGAACGATGGTGGACAGGCTTGGGTCAACGGCGATATGCAACGCTTCCGCCGCGCGCTCGACACAGCTTGCGTGGAGGGCCCGATAGAAACGGCCAAGATCGCGGCTGAACGGCGCTTGGGAAAGAATCTTGAGCGGACAGTTGGGTTGGGTCTTCTCGAGAACTTGACCATCCACTCGCATGGCACTGCTACCGACTTCTGGAACCTTGAAGGATTTCACTGCCTCTTCCGACACCCCGCACTCAAGCACCTTCACGTCTCCTGTGTGGCCTTCCCAGACTCTGAAATCTCAGAGCTCGCAACACATACGAAGAAGACTCCTCTGACATCGCTTATCTTTGACGAGTGCGAACTGCGGCCCAAAAGCCTGCTCAGCATCCTTCGCACTCCGGCGCGTCTGAAGTCGTTGACTTTGGGCGAGAACGTCTTCAACATTAACCGGTCAAGGCGGGCTAAGCCGTTATTGAACAAAGACGCAGGCGTATCACTGGAGGCTCTCTCCGCAGTCGCGCACTCACTGGAAAGCCTTACACATCTAAACCCTGGCTGGCGTCTTGACAAAAGCCCTCAGGTGCTCCGCAGCATACGCCCACCTGGTGATGGTATGCGCGATTTCCACCTTCTGAAATACCTTGAATGCGACACAAACTCCTTCCTACATCAGGCTATCATCATGAACCGTGATCTGGCGCCCCCTAGCCTGGAAACACTTCGTATCCGTCGGCATTGGGATGTTCCGGTCGACTTCTGGGATCAGCCGCCTGACTTCGATCACTACGCCGCCCTGCCATCTCTGGATACACTCGAATTATTGCAATCATCCTACATGTGGTAAGTTCTGATAACAAGGATGACGTTGTTTTTTAGATCATGCGCTGACTTTGCCCCGTGTGGCTCATAGGCTCGACACGGCAAAGTCTGAGTACATCTGCGATGAAGAACGTCTTCGCAATCGCCACGCAAAGGCGTTCAAGCTGCACAAGGCTGGCATCAACCTGAAGATGTCGTTGGAACTACACAAAAGCGAAGGCTTGATACCACCGTACCTGCACAAAGAGCGCGTTCCTATTATCGAATGCCTGTACGATGCGAGCATGGAGGGATTCAAAAGTTTCATCAGGAAAGAAGTGACAGATGAGGACGGAGAGATGACTGAATCGCTTGCGAGAGAAGAAGCTGAAACGGACCAACTAAGCGAGGTGGATATCAGCCTCTTAAAGTCAAAGACGCGACGTCTTACGCTTTCCATGAAACACAGCCTCGTGAATCGCGGCGGCCGACTCCCTTCGTTCAGGGAGATATTCGGCTCGGATGATGGAAGTGAAGAGTCGGCCGACAGCGATGAGGATTTCGAGGTTGATGACCTTGACGAGGATGACGATATGGCGCTCGATCTTGAGCTAGACGACGATGTCGTCCAACAGTATATCGACGAAGATGGCAATCCGGTGTTTGACGAGGACGGCAACCCTGTGTTCGAGGACGACGGAGAGCTTTTCACAACCGTGTGGGAGGTGGCTACCGAGGACGATTATGATAGTGATATGGATGAGGACACGGATGAGGATGACGACGATGACGAGATGCACGACGCGTTGGAGACCCAGCAACAGCCAGCCAACACCAGTACCAACATCGACGACGTTGACTAAGCAGTTTCGGGAGAGTGGTAGCTGTTCATGTTCGACTTCCGTAGTCTGTACGCAACTACAATAGTGTATTCTTGTGTATTATTGGCTTTAGAAAATAGTTTTAATGATGCATGTATTATCAAAAGTGTTATGCTGATGACCAACAGTAGCGCTATGTGCTCGTGCAACACATACAGCTTCGGATCACAGTCTCTATCTAAATCCTCTCTCAAGAATGAACGAACGCCGGGTATTTGAAAAGGTATCGCACCAAATCAGTAGCTAATACACCACTGCAAAAGAAGTCTGCGATAAACGTCAGCCATGACTTCATAGTCCCCATCGCCCATCAACTTACCTCCACCAAACCCATCATCGCGCACACCCAAGAGTCTGTGACGAACAGTACGCGTTCTCTCTGGTGACATATTAGCCCTTCATTCCATAATCATCCTACATCATTCACCCCCTCATCCCATTCCGTCCTAATCCGGCAGGTATCCCGCCTTCCTCCCCCAAATCTAATTCAAGAACTAAACATACCTCGTCAAATAACTCCCATCCGCCTTCGCCCGCCTCGTCTCCAAAAGCGGTGGCACAAAAGGTAGTGCAAGAGCCGAGACTACATAGCTTGTTGCTAAAGTGGCTTTGAGGCGGTAGTGTGGGTCGCGTGGGATATGGCGGGTGGAGTATGTGCGGAGGTGGGAGAGGGCGTGTGTTGAGATTGCCATTTTGTGTGTCGACATATGCGAAGAAGCAAGAAAGATTGTATGTGGAGTTGCAAGCTGGATGGCTGATTGTGCCTTTGTATCGTCGTTGTCGCAGTCGTGATTATAGATGCTCGCGTGTGACCAGCCCTACGAAAGATGATCTCGGAATGTGGGGCCAGGAAGGTTCGGTGGTGTCGGCGCGTGTGGGGTCCTGGTTGCGTCGGTAATTCTGTACTCTGCTTTATAAACCTCTTCAAAGCAAGTCAAGATAGGTAGAAAAATGATAGCATGGGGGCGTCGGAGGGTATTAATACGTTTCAAGATGGCTGCCTAAGACGTCTGCCCTGAGGCCATTGAGCAAGGGGTGAACGAACGGTCCTTCGCACTACGGCCGCGGCTGACCTGCACGTGGAGATGAGCGACGTATGCAGGCGGAGTCGAATGTCACCATTTTTGTGGGCTGCGGTTAGGGCTGCCTTGACGCTAGGGATTGGTTTTGTTGCTTACATCTTGCTTTGAGCACGGTTTGCGAGTTTGGCTTACAAAGGTGCAAAGTGTACATTCTGAGAGAATTGGTAAGATGAGCCTGAAGTAATCGTTGGATATGTTCGCGTAAAGTTTTTGTCCATCTTTCTGCGATACATACTTCTTCAGGCGTGCATTCGCGATGATGCCTCAGGGTCTGGGCGATCTTCCGGGTCACACCACCCTCGCGCGAGTACGCGCGAGCCGCCGCCTTTTCGCGACAGAGGCTTTTACCGGGATGCAGAAAGAGTGCTTCTTGGCAACAAACAGCGCATTGGTGAGCAGTTGGTCACGACATCTTTACTCGCATTCACGAATCGGCGGTTTTCGCGGAGAACGGGTGGCTGTCAGCAGGAACGACCCGATGCTGATTGGTGGATGGAGTGGCAGTGGCCTTGCGCAACCTCGCTGCAACTTCTCTTTCTGTGATCTCGCAACATCGTAATTGGATCAACAACACCTTCGATTCTTTCTCCCTGTGAACTGCATTTACAGCTTCTTCTATGCTCGATTTGCAAGCCTTGATTAGTCTTCTGAGCGAATGACGATCCCTTACGCCAGGTAGACAGCGAGGATGTCGACATTAATGACAGTAATTATCGTCACAGAGCACCTGTGTATCATCATGGCAAGATGATATATGCTAGTATCCCATATAAGCAGTCACAGTCATGGTTGCGAAGACTCCGAAGCTCATACTACAAATTTGCATTATCCTCGAGAGAAGCTCTCGGAAGCTGTCTTATGAAAAGATCTGTTTAACGCAAAAGCCACTCAAGCCACTTCAGCTCATGCGACTTGACAACAGAAGAAAAAGGCGACAACAGCCCGGGCCCATACGTCCTCAGCTATTCCATCGCCCTACTTTCGCCCAACCATCGCCTTAGTTATTCCTCCTCCCATTACGATCAAAGTTGAAAAACTGGCGTCCACCACCACCTCCTCCTCCACCGCCAGCACGCCGCGAACTACCACCACCGCCTCCGCTACCATAAGCATGCTGAGGAACATAACGCTGCTGCGGCCTATACTCTTCATCCTCTGAATCCTCTTCATCTTCGTAGTAGCCCTGCCGACCAGAAGGTTGTTGACGACCACCATAGTCAAACATACGGCGTGGACCTCCACCATAACCATACTGTCCACCAGCACGCGGGTCTTCGTATCCAGCTCCATACCGCGGATCTTGAGCACCGCCGCGGGTGTAATCCCGATCGTCCATGTAGCGCTGTTGGCCGTAGCTAGGTTGTTCTTGGGTGCGGCTCGCGCCAGGATTGCGTGATTGTCTGAACGGGTTGTCTGCGTGTGAGAGACCGGAGAACATGATGCCGCGGCCACTACTACCACGGGGAGCGTGTTCTTGACCACCACCGCCACCGCCCATGCCGCTCATGCCGCTCATGCCGCTCATAGGTCCGCCACCACTACCACCACGGCTGCCAGCGTAGTCGCCAAAGGGCGCGTGGTGTTCTTGGTATTGTTGGCCTTCTGGACGTGAAGAATCGAAAGTCGAAGAGAAGGAATATCCGCCTTGACGCGGGTTTCCGCCGCCCATAGGACCACCACCGCCGCCACGGCCCATCATAGGAGGGGGGCCACCTCCCATTATGCCTCCCATACTGCCGAAGGGGCCACCGCCCATGCCACCCATTGGACCGCCAAAGGGGCCGCCCATGCCGCTGAAGAAGTCGTCGTCGCCGCCTGAGTTGCCGAAAGGATTCATGTTGTGGGGTGTTGTAGGAGCGTAGGATTGTAGTTGTGAGTTGAGTTGGTGAGTTGTGGGTGTGGATGAGGAGGGGTTAGGAGGAGGCGGGGTGCATGTGATATAGTCAGCGGGCCCTGGGTGAAAGTGTCTTGTCATAAAGTTTGACATAGAGAGTGAACATGCTGATCTTTGCAGTGTGAGCGCATGTCGTTGGTGGTGGAAAGGTCGAGTTTTGACGGGAAGAGAATGCGTAGGGTGAAAGCTTGGCTAGTATAGGTGAAGGGTAAGACTATTGATCTACGAAGATCCTAGAGCATATGACCACATCAGATTAGCAGGTACCTATCCGTAAGTTCGATCACGACCGGGAGAAGGCACATCAAAGACAAAGTATTGGTGAAGCAGTCTTGTATTTCACTCTCCATCCTCCCTTACTATATCTCCATATGTAACTAAAAAAGGGTATATACATTGTTAGTGTGGTAAGTAATGTAAAAAACGGACCAGCCTTTGTAATTCTCGCGCTTTTTGCAACCAACCTCAATCGGCTATGTACTGTTCACTGTGTGTTTGTTTGTTGTTCTTCATGTCGCGTCAGGATGAGGCGCTTAGCTGAAGAACTTGAGGGCGCGCCTGAACCTGTTGCCGCCGCGGTTGCCCTGGCCGCCGAAGCCGCCCTGGCCCTGGCCCTGGTTTTGGCGTCCGTTGCCTTGACCCTGACCCTGACCTTGACCGTTCTGACCTTGGCCCTGGTTCTGCTGGCCCTGGCCCTGGTTCTGTCCTTGACCCTGACCCTGACCCTGCTGGCCCTGGCCTTGGTTGCCGTTGTTCTGGTTGCCGCCGTTGTTGCCACCGTTGTTGCCACCGTTGTTGCCGTTACCAGCGTTGGGAGCTTGAGTGGCGTCAGGAATAAGAGCTGAGAGAAACGTTAGCATGAACTCCATGTAAGTAATGACGGGGCGGATGAGAAAGCAACGCACCGGAAATGGCACTGGCACCCTCATTGCCACCCGCAGCACCAGCAGCCTGGTTCGCCGCGATAGCAGCAGGAAGATCCTTCTTGTTTTGCAGAATTTGTGCAGAGATACCCTCAAGTGTCTGAGCAGTGTCGACAGCTAGCGGCAGTGAGTATGGATACAGGATAGGGCAGACGCTTTCTGATGATGGTAGAAAATGTGGAACTTACCAGAGGCAGCTTCGTCGGTGCGACCTTGTCCGTCAGTTTGCTGGACGGCGAAGCATCCACCAAAGGGACCGGCGATGGCGTTGTTGCGGCATCGGATGGTGCAGATGTTTCCAGTGGAAGCACCGAGGCAGTTGAAGTTGTCAGGCATCTGGACGTTGATGACAAAGTCCTTCTCTTTGGCCTGGGAGAGACCGAAAGAACCGGGGATGTTGTTGGACACCTTCAAGGGGGTGAAGGTGGTGACGGCGTTGCTAGTCTCGTCCATGTCGCACTCGAATGGACCGGCGCCATCAGCGTTGACTTGGTGGATGGTGACAGCCAGCATGGAGCCGCCAGAAACCTGGGCCATACGACCAGCAGCAAGCTCGTTCTCGGTCTGCTCGCCGATGTCGATGTTACCAGCGATCTCAGTCCTGCCGCAGGCGTTGACGATGTTCTGCTTGATCTCTGAGTCGCGGATGATGGTAGCATCCTGCTGGCAAGGAGAGATGGTTGTGCAGTTGCGAGCAATAGCAGGGTCAACCAAGAAACCTTGACTCTCACCGGAGTCTCCAACGGCGGCCAAGATAGCTGCGTGCGAGTGCACGGTGGTGAAGAGAGCGGCAAGCGCAACGGAAGAGGCAGCGAAGTACATAGTGATTGGAGTTAAAATAAAGTTGGCGCTCAGCGCTGAGAATAGAATGAAATGTGGAGTAAAGAAGGACTAGCGTCGAGCTGTGAAGAAGTGAAGACCGTTGATGGAGATAGATTAGTAGCAGCGGAACGGATGGTAATCTATATACCATCCTCCATGACCAGTCGAACCACCACATCGTGAAATCCCTTACTCGACATCCATGGTGGTGTCCACTTGCATGAGACGTGCTTCGGTATAGGTCAAGGGTTTGGTGTATGGTCGTGCTGGCCTAGGCGCCTGAGTAGAGACTTGGCAATGAAAGAGTGGAGTACGGAATACCGCCAAGTAAGGAATAAGCACCCTGGATAGACTTCGCAGGAGCTTGTGGTACCTCCTCGACGGGAACACCTAGCCTGTCATGGACGTAGAGGCGTTGTGGTGAGGCTGCTCCACAGGCTTCAAACTTCGAGAACCTGGACCAGATCATGCCCTCCGTCACTTAGCGCTCATTGAACCAACAATTCAGCCTCCGTTTTGCCGTAGTACGCTAGCGATGAGGCGTGGGAGGTTTCGACGACCGTAAAGTCAAGTTTCGAATCAGAACGTCGCACGCCACATGCAAACACGACGGCTTGGCACAGTGCCATGCCGTATGTCCGGCTCAATTCCGGAAACTATGCTCGTGCGAAGGAACAGCAGATGGTGAGTGGCGGTCCCATGAAATGCGAAGAGCCTCGGGATGTTGGTGTTTCGAGATCAGGCGCCCGTTAAAGTGGACCTTCCCGTTACATGGCTGTGGGGCCACCCGTTGGAGCAGGAACGCCGCGCTTTCGGCAGATAGGCTCACAGTCTCTCGCGTAGAGTCGCCTGTTGGTCGCTGTCGACAATGCCTAAGCAAAGGGGCTCGATGTCGCGATAGCGCAGGCGCAGGAATTGCACCTGTCATCTCCGCACTCCTGAGGCATCTCTGTCGCGCATCATGCCGGACTTCCGGACTCAACGATGCAGCGAGCACTGTAGTAAGCGACCGTATTGTGGAGGCCTTGGTTGTGAGCATTGCTTCTTCTTCGATGGTGTCGCTGCCATCCTCCCGAAGTGTTGCACCTTCTCTTCAAAGCCAGGTTCGCTGCAGCGATGGCACTCCTGCAGGGCTCACACTTTCACCATGCAGCAAGTCCACTCTTCAAATATGGATTGAAGGTATTGCTGTAACTCTCATCCATCTCGAGATAGCGCACTGTCTGAAGTCGTTAGTTTTGAGATGAGAGCAACCCTTGTTTTAAGTCTTGTGGCTTCGGAACTCTTTCGTCTGACCGAGTGATAGACTCGATGAAGTGAGTCTAGAGGGCATAGCTTGACGCAGCAGAGAACAGGTTCCTGCGTGTTTGATAGCAATGGTCGTTGACAAATTCCATTGCGGGCCTCCCAGATATTTCCTGAACAAGATGCTCTGAGTATCATGAACAGTAATGCTGTTATTGAGACGTGCTGTTGTCAGTGCAGATCAAATGGCGCGTGCCTCGTCATGTCCCTGTCGGAGATAGCGTAAGTCACGGTGATATCATGCAGAGACTCTGAGCGAAGCCTGGTGCCATTGCGACACGCAGTGAAAAGGTCGTGCAACAGAGATGGCTGACTTGTACCAGTCGACCATTCTTCCCCGCGGCGGCGAGTCCATGTCTAATCGCCGAACAATCGCCGGCAGCCTTACAACAATCAGACCACTTTCATCATCCATCGCTCAGAAAACTTGCGAGCTGTCGCAAAGCCGCCACAAGCTTCCACACACACCAATTCCCTTCTCAGACCGATAATACACAACCCATCATGAACACAGTAAGCTCCATTAACACTTTCCACCCCGTCATCAGTACTAACAGTCGAACAGGTCAAATCAGTATAGTACGTCACACATCTCGCAGACACCCACAAGTCCAGCTACCCCATACGTGCCAAACCCAACACCATCCCTCCAAAGCCTCCAACGAATCCACCCTAACTTCCCCCACAGCTACGGCTGGGCAACCCTAATAGTCGCAGGCGGCGGCGCCTACTTCTTCGCCAAACGCAGCATAAACGCCGACCGCGCCGCAAAAGCCGAAGCCGACCGCCAAAAACGCATCCGCCTCTACGAGCTCGAACACGGCTTACAAAACTCCGCTCCTACCACCACACCGCTGAACCCAACCGCGAAACCAGGATCTACACAGGCGGCGCCGCAGAGCGTGACGAGCGAGGTGGGCAGGCTGAGGGCAGAGGGAGGAGGGAATGGGGGCATGGGAGGTGAGGGCAACCCCAGTATGCAGGCGAGTCAGGATCCGGCGCCGACGAGACATGCGCCTGAGAGTGAGGGGCAGAGGGTGGGCGAGAAGAGCAAGTATGAGGCGCCTGAGGTGTATCGGAGTCGGAAGGGAGATCGGTTCTCATGAGTTAGGACAAGAGGATTGACGATGCAACGGGCGGATGAATCACACATTAGAGTGAGTTCACGTAGATACGAGGCATCGATGGCGTTATGGCATGGAAGATTCCACTCTTTGTATTATCGTACACCAGCAGGTTGGCGACTCCAATGCCCCAGCTCCAAGCTATGCTAAACTAAATAAATCATTCAAAACGCCCACGCGATATATCAGGGTATAAAGCGATATGTTGCCGTCCCACGTCTCTGTACATCATACGCCATGAGGATTTACTGCGCAAACATGCCGCTTCGGCTGTCTCTCCGCTTCTCGTACAGCCATTTGCTGTTCAGTCCGACACTCGCTTTGCCAGTAGAGGGCGTAGGGGTGCCCGGTGCCGTCATGCTGCTTGAGCTGTCACCGAACAAGCTACTGCTCATCGAACTGCCACCATAGCTCAACCGCTTCGTCGCAGAAGACCCGCTCATTGATCTCTGGAAGTTTCCTCCATTGTTTGGTGAAAACGGTGAGCCTGAACCAGACCTTCTGAAGTTTGGCGACCCGGAGCCGTATTCCTGATTGCTGAAGCTGTTGCTGCGCGGTGTTGATCGCTGGTACCGGGGAGGCGTGACGTAGTTGGGCGATGCGAATGCGGAGCCTGGCGATTGGGGCGCCTGGACGCCAGCTTTCAAGCCCATGGAGGCGCGCTGCGAAGGGGTCAGAGGTATGTCGGCGATCTCGTCGGGGTAGTAGCGACGGATGAGAGGGAGGAACGCGATGACGATGTTTGCGGCGAATACGATGCGGACGAGGAGGACGGCCCATGCGCTGTAGGGAACAGCTTTTACGACAGCGTTGATGGGTGTTCTGGTGCATGTTAGCATGATCCACGATGACATTCCTTGAGGAACGTACGCAGCGTATTCCAGTAGCTTCACCTTCTCAGTAACCCTGGTACCATATACTGAGAGAAACAGGAAGCCTGCATTCAGGACGATGGCCCTGACGTTGCGCTCATCAAACGTGGTAGCGTACTGGCGGCGCGCAATCTCGTCAAACTTGGGATGTCGCCAGGAGCCATTGGGAGTGTATGGCTGTTCTGTCTGGGCGGATGGTGTCGCGGCCTTTTGCGGAGTCGCAGGCTGCGCGTATCGGGCTACCGACATGTTGTGTGAAGCTTTTAGCTACTCGCGTTGATTGTTTGTTTGGCCGAAAGGGAGTCGCAAGAGATGGGCTGGCTCGCGTGTCGGACTACACTTTCACTGCTGCTGCTGGGTTAGTACTTAGTCTCGGATAGCGTCGCGCGGCTACAGGCGCATTCTGTCTGCCAAAGGGTGCCGCGATGGTGAAGGTCAGAGTGGTTGTACAGCAACCATGTTTTGGCAAGGGCGATCGGAGGACGGACATGCGAGCCGACAGGGGTCCCTTCACTAGCGGACCAATTCACCCCCGCCGTCATCCCGCAGCTGCCAGCCAAACCTCCAACTTCACCTCACTCATGCGACCTCAGCCATGGCGGGTACTCTAGAGCAGCTTGATCAGACCATCGGCGAGGTCCTCGCCGGCTGGAACTTCGTCAGCACCCTCATCGCCTTCACCATCGTCGGCTTCTTGGCCTGGATCATCTATGACAGCGCCGATGCCGACACACACCCGCTGCTGCTCGCCAGACAGGCGGTAGCTTCGTATGTCAGGCAGCCGGGAGAGTCTGCTGTCTTCCGCTCCCCCGAAACTCCTCATGGCTGTACGAGCACCCCACCATATGTTTGCAGCCATTCCAGCTAACATGCGCCAGACCCTCTTCGTACCGGACTTGCCGTACGACCCCCAGGCGCTCCCATGTACTCGGCCGGCAAAGATGGAGATCTCCGCGATATCTGGCGACGTGTCACGGGCGAGATCCCTCTCGAGAAGGGCGCAAAGTCTAGCGGCACTGCAAACATCATGACCGTCTTTGGAAAGGAAGGTGTCACCGAGCACAAAGTTGAAGATGTTACCAAGGAGATCGCTATTCTCGGAAAGCATCTTCAAGATCGCGGTGCTAAGAGAGTGGCCATCTACCTCCCCAACAGTCTCGAGTTCCTCTCTGCACTCTTTGCGGGTGCCTTCTTCGACTTCACGCCCATCTTGATCCCATACAACCAACCACACGAGACCCTTGCCGAACTCCTCCTCCAAACGAAAGCCGATGCCCTCATCGCTGAGGCTGGCTCTGTGCCTCTTGCCGAACTCAGTCAAGGCGTGTCCGGCCTGCGCTCCATCGTCTGGACTGTAGAGAAGACAAGCAGGCACATGGACTGGAGCGAGGTACCCGAAGGCATCGGTGGAAAGATCGATGTTGCTGTTTGGCACGAGCTTGTACAGGAACAGAAGAATGCCACTATACCACTGCCGTCGAATCCCGGCAAGCCTCGGAACGTTGTCTTCCTCTGGCAAGAAGCCGTTGGAAAGCCGGCAGAGGTTGTCGAATTCACGCAACAGGTACGTAAACCTACCATGTTGACATATGCACGTACTGATGGGAACAGAATCTGACCGCCGCCGTTGGTGCACTTGTCACGTCCCTTCCTGCCGCCCACCGTCTAAATGCCTCGGACACGTTCCTCCCTGCAGATGCCTTTACACACTCCTACTGTCTGTGCCTGACGCTGGTTGCTCTGTTTTCTCACGCAACAGTCGTCATCCAGTCCGTTGCCGGTCCGGGTGTCGATCTGGAACTGGCGACACGCTCCATCGCTCCTACGGTCACAGTGGTCTCAGCTGAAACAGCTGCGAAGCTTCACAACACCACCAAGACATCCGTAACGGGTGGCCCCCAGAAGTTGGCTCATTACCTCGAGACGCGCATGTTGACTGCTGGCCGCCTGCCTACCGACAATCTCCTCACAAAGCTCAATGCGCCCAAGAGGGCGGCTGTCGGCACAACACCTGGAAAGCTGCGCTTGGTCTTTGTGTCTGAACGACAAGGCCTGAACACACCACCACTTAGCTCAGAGGACCTCTCCGATCTACGCATCTTCACCAAGGCGCGTGTCGTATACGCTTTGACCACAGCCAAGGTAGCGGGAGCCGTTGCGCAAACCAACATCTACGATTACCGGAGGGAGACAGCATCGAACAAGCACAGCCACTTCGGTGTACCCCTTAGCTGCGTGGAGATCAAGTTGAAAGATACACCACACCTCAAGACAACAGACGAGCAGACCGCAGGCGAGCTAGTCGTTACTGGCTCATCGGTTGTGGGTGGTGAGATTCACCTAGGCGTGAATGCGACCATCCGAGATGACCACACTCTGGCGTATGTATAGCTAGCGCATTGAGCAAAACGCGATGAACTTGAACGTACTTGCCTTCACGAAGCTTCTTCCCCATGATGCCCATCCAATCTGCCGACTATTAACATGCGCTCAGCTTAACGACACACCTCGTATGCACGAGATTACGCGACTGACCCAGGAATCCAGGCCTGCTTGTGCAGTAGTTGGCATCGACGTGCATGCGCCCCAAGTACCGAGACACACTGATTTTCCCCTCCTCCACAAAGCTTTTCAAACGCTTGCACCCTTAGTAGGTACTACGATACACTATATCACTCTCTTCGTATTGATTAGAACCGACACATATATGTGTATCTGTGGAGGAGACATCGTACCTATCGCGTCGCGTGGGGATCACCCTCTCTGGGGTAATTTCAGCCGAAGCGCCACCGAGCGGCGCCTTCGCTAAGACCGAACCGACTGGGGTGCTTATCTGCACCTGCACGACCGTCGAATGACAGCCGGCCCCATCTAGCAACGGTCGCATTTCCCAAGGACCGAGACCTTGGGTACAGCCGCTAACCATCATGACAAGCTGTGTGAGTGGTTGTTTGTTGAGCAAAAGGCTGCGAGGAAAGGCTCAAGGCGTTCGTCTAGTCCAGCTGAGTCTCGATCCATGTCTCTAGGCGAAGTGGTTGACATGGTCGGCTCGTGGCGCTTATCTTATCGTCGCCTTGCCAGAGATATAGACGTAACGTCAATCCTGGGCGCCCGCTGTTCGGAGATCTGCACTGAGACTGTGCGTGCTGCTAGAGGATAAGAAGGCGCTTGTGTCCGTCGCGCGGAAAGACCCTCAAGGATAGAAGGTCCTCCCATCTTTACAGCCCTTCCACGTTCTTGGTGGTTGGCACGGTACCTAGGTAGGCTTCAGGATGCCGTTGATCGAGAAGCCGCATTGGACGCTCAGGGTTGAGCAACCCAAGAGCACGTTTGCGGAAGGCAATGCGCGATGGTAGGTTCGATTTGGAAACGGAGATGCGCGATGATGAAATTCTTGTACTGACTGATGGTATACAGGACGAACAAAGATCTTGACCCTGTTCCGAGGCATGGCAGGAAGTGGGGTGTGACGAGCTTCATCTCGTATTGGGTGTCGGATGCATTCAAGTACGCCTTTACCAAACTTTTGACATCAACGAAGTAAGAAATGCTAACATCAACTCAGCGCCGCAACATGGCAATTCGCATCCAGTATCATCGCAATCGGTACATCTCTCCACATTCCACCTCACCCAAGTTGAACCCTCAACTAACACCACCACCAGGCCTCACCTGGCGCGAATCCCTCGGCATAGTCGCCCTGGCCTTCTTCATAATCTCCTTCGTCATCGCCCTAAACGGCGCAATCGGCGTCCTCCACCACGTCCCCTTCCCCGTCATCGCGCGCGCCTCCTGGGGTTTCTGGGGCTCCTACATCGCCATCGTCTCGCGCGCCATCCTCGCCATCTTCTGGTTCGCCATCCAAAACATGAACGGCGCGAATTCCGTGCGCGTCATGATCGGCGCCATCTGGCCCTCTTTCCTTAGCCTGGAGAACGGTATCCCTGAGAGCCAAGGCATCGATACAGCGACCATGATCAGTTTCTTCATCTTCTGGCTAGGCAGTGTACCGTTTCTGGTTATGCATCCGAATGAGTTGAGGTGGCTGTTCATGGCTAAGAGTATTATCGTGCCGATTGCGTGGATTGCGATTCTCATCTGGGCGTTTGTGAGTACGGATGGGGGAGGTGAGATGTGGAATCAGAAGGCTACGTTGACGGGGAGTGCGTATTCGTGGGGGTTCTTGTCGAGTTTGACGAGTGTTATTGGGAATTATGCTACCTTGTCTGTGAATCAGGTAAGTTCTCTCAGCCCTCCACGGATCCCGTTGCGAACTCCATCTAGAGATCTGAACAACATGCTAATTACAACCACAGTCCGACTTCTCCCGCTACTCCCGCGTCTCGGTAAAATGGCAATGCATCTACGTGCCCTTCCTCCCCATAGTCTTCACCTTCATCGCCTTCATCGGCGTAGCCGCCACCTCGGCCGGCGCCGTCAAATACGGCACTCTAGACTGGGACCCCATGGCCCTCATTGCGCACTGGGACAACCGCGCCGCCCGTTTCTTCGCCGCCTTCTCCTTCGCCCTCGCTGCCCTCGGTGTCAACATCTCCGCCAACTCGCTCTCCGCTGCCAACGACCTCACCGCCCTGTTTCCCCGCTACGTCAACATCCGCCGCGGCCAGCTGCTCTGCGCGGTACTCTGCTGGGCGCTTGTCCCCTGGAAGATTCTCGCGTCCGCGGGTAGTTTCCTCAACTTTATGGCTGCTTATGCGATTTTCCTGGGTCCGATTGCGGCGATTATGGTTGTCGACTTTTGGGTTGTGCATCGTGGGAAGTATGATACTTTGGCTTTGTACCAGTATCATGGTATCTACAAGTACACCGCCGGTTGCAACTGGCGTGCTATTGTCGCTTTTCTCGTTGGCGTTGCGCCGAATATGCCGGGGTTCATTCAATCTATCAATCCGGCTATTGATGCGGGTGTGGGTGCTAGGCCGTACAGCTTTGGTTGGCTACTAGGGTTTACGGCGACGGCGCTGGTGTATGGGCTGTTGGAGATGGTTGTTGCGCCGCCGAAGGAGACGTTTATCGATAGGGCGGTGTATCCGGATGAGATTTATGATGAGGCGGGTGTGGTGGATGAGGGGATTAGTGTGGGGAGTGGAGAGCAAGGGAGTGCGGAGAAGACGGGGTGGAAGGCGAAGATGACGAGGATGTTGTAGATGGGAACATGAGTTCTTGAAGATCCAGGCATGGGGAGATTACGTTTGATTTGCGAAGATATGTCGAAGCGTTGGGAGATACCTTCTTTCGATCTTCAACACGTCCCTTTCTCCAACCAGATGCAAAGTGAGCTCAATTCGACATGTAAATTGTATTCGATGGATTGTAATGAGGATATGTAAAGAGAGAGCGTTACTTCGTCTACGGCATTACACTAGTATGACCGTAAATACCCCGATTCGAGACTGGGTATCCAGCCAAGACATCAGGACACAAACGTCTCAAATCCACCTCCCCCATCCTCTCACAACCCCACAACAACACCCATCCCCAACCCCACAAGCGCGCCAAAACTCCCCATCCCCACCGTCCCCCTCCCCTTTGCTCCACTCCCCGCGTCCCCAGTATCACTAACACCCCCACTCCCACTCGCAGCATTAACCTGCAACCCATACGCCGTCGTCGTAACCAGACTCCCACTGACCGTCGTAGTAACAACACTCGTCGCCGTCGTACTAGCCTCGCACCCACTCCAGCTGGTCCAGGGCGCAGAACTGCTCCAGGGCCCTGCTGTCCAGCCAGGCCAGTCGGATGGCGGACACGCGCTGCCGTCCCACCATGCGGTCCAGGGGCCTGACCGCCAGTCTGAGCGTGTGGACCAGTCGCTGTAGGGACCGAAGTTGGAGGAGCCCCAGGGGCCGGGACCGTCTGGGCCTGGGAGGTGGGTTAGTCTGTGACTTGGGTTGCGTTGTGGTGAGGGATTTGGGGAGGGATGGGATGGATGGTATCTTACCTCCCCAGTGTCTTCCCGGTCCTCCAGGGCCATGCGGTCCACCTGGTCCCCAGGGTCCTTGGCCTGGTCCGTAACTACCAGTTGGCCAGGGTGCAGCGGTCAGAGTCGATGGGATCTTCCCGGCTGAGAGGAGGGATTCATAGATTGAAGACCATTTTCCTGGGTCGGAGGATGCCCATGGTGGACCGGAACCATACCATGGATCAGTTGATGTAAAAGCAGGCGTAATGCTTTGGCCGAGGATGGGCGCGATGAGCGCTGTGATGGTTGTGAAGGTGAACTTCATGGTGGTAGGTAGTATTGGCGTCGTGGTGTTCGCGTCTGTGTCTGGAGGAACGTTTGTTGTTATGTCGTGTAGACGTAGTAACAAACAGTATGCAGTAACCGACTCCGTGCAACGATACCCAGCCCTGTCAGTTTCGTGTCGTGCCTGTGTACTCTCAACTCCAGAAAAAAACGTTTCCCACACGCGAACACCGCAGCATACAAATACCCTCAGACACGACATACGCGGCCCACTCCTTCATTGGACGCCATCATAGCTTACCTGCTACTCCGTCATAGAAACGCGTCCGGAGGGGGCCCGCGAGGCTCAGCTGAGCGTTAGTCCACCTTACGCTGGATGGCAAAGAAGCGTAGGATCAGAGATGACAAGCAAGCAACGCTTACAAGCTTACGCGTCCGCAAGCCTATACACGTACTGTCTCGGCAGCTCTTCCACATTTCCCGGAAAAGCGTCATTGGCATGGTGATGATGCAGGGTCAGGCTTTCAGCCTTGTGGCATGCCGTAGCGGAGCGTAGTGGAGTTGGCAAACAGGCGATCAAAGCTTGGTGGAGAACTACATTGGCTAGACACTGCTAAAGAGAGTAGATGATTGGACAAGTGAGATATCGAGAGATGATCTTGTGACTATAAACAGAAAGGGCGGCGTGAGATGTGCTGCAGCGTGCTTTTTCGGAGAATGGAGGTGGGGAGAAAACGCGGAGAAACGTGCTGTGGTATAACCGCGCGTGCATATGTCGGTTGTTGGAATTGCGTGCGTCCTTCGCGTTACCAAAGGTAGAAACTGAGAGTAGAATTTCTCAAAGCGATCAGGGAGCTGCAGCCATTGTGTTCGTTGCGTATTCAGTTTGGCAATGGAGTGTCGCAAGTCGAGGTTGAGTCGAGGGAACTACATCCAAACGTATGATGCAGAGACCCCACTGTCGATCATCGGCGGAGACGGAGGCGCAAGCACCGACGAGATGCTCACTCTGACACCACCGTCGCTATTCGATTACGCTCGAGTATGAGTTGTGTGCAACGGTGTACGCGTCCTGTTGACATTACAATTGAGTAATACACTGTCTCGTGACGCTGACCAACCTTTAGAGCTGCAAGACTGTCGTGCATGTTACCCGTGAACCACTGTCTCGTAACGATCACGTCGCTTTCATTTCACAACGAGACAAGCCTCAAAACCGATAAAGGTCAAAGTTGGGGATTTATAGCAGTTCAAGAGGTCGCAAGCAAGGCCACACTGCATAGAGGCATGTCGTCCAATGTCGCATATGGGTTTTAGTACTACCATGTCGTGTGCGCGCATGTCAGGCACGACACGTTGACGACTGTGCTAAGTCCATTGGTGCTTCCCCAGACCCTGCGAGTCTTCACTCGTAGTCAGATGCCATCGTATCTCCTCCTTGAGACGCATTCAACGATGCAGTGTACATGGAAAGCATGGTTCATAGTCGTATTGGTATATTCATCGCCAGTGCTCTCTTAGCACCGTCTAATTCACATCGGGTAACCGCACAGCGATGTCGCCTGACTGTGTAATGTATCGTACCCAAGGTAGCGACGGGTATTGCAACTGCGCGCATGTTAGCCACTGCCTATTATATCATGATAATTCTTCCTTACCTTTGGTTCGATGATCTTCAGATACCGCACTTGGATACCTGATGTGGTAAAGTACGGAATCTCGAACTTGACGTTGATGGGCCTCTTGGCCTTTCCGCCGCCAACACCACCCATGCTACCACCGAAGCCTCCCATCATACCGCCACCCTTCTCGTCATCACCGCGCACCGATGGCAGACCAAGCTCGGCGCGCATGAGGAACTCCTTGCCACCACCAAACTGCTTGATCTTCCACACTATGGAGGATGTCTCAGGCGCGTAGTGTACGGTGCCAATGTTTGTTCGGAAGCGAGGGGTGTCTGCGTCCTCGGGGACCGGAATTGAGATTTGGACGTTGTTGGCGGTGCTTCGTCGCTTAAACTGTGCTCGTGCCTGTGAAGTGTCAGCCCATTCTACTAGTAATCAAGAGACTTACCTACCTTAAGCATGTACTCGATCCTGCTGCCTGAATGGCTCTCGACTATGCACTCTACCCAGATGAGGGGCTTGACTTGTGTGTTCAGGCGGTAGCTCATCAGCTCGAACTCGCCATCTGGTGGAATGAAGCTGATGGTCCTGTCGTTCTCGAATCTCGATAATCGCACGCACTGGTGGAACTTGACATCCTCCATCTCAACAGCCTTTCCTCGTGTAGCCCTTCCGGTGGTCTCGAACATGGCTTTGTCGTTCAGACCTAGTCGCAACTCGGGCATACCCGACAGGTAGCACTTCATCTTGACAGCACCCAGAATCTCCGATCGTAGCACGCTGCCGGTCGCGGAAACAAGAAGGTTAAGCGATTCGATGACGTCGAGGAAGACTTCGTTCTTGCGGTATCGGATACCTTCGCTTCGCCAGCTGACGGCGTTTGTGACTGCGATGGGTGGGCGTGCGATTTCGAGCTTGTGCGACTCTTGTGTGATGTATCTACAGAGTTGTTGTTAGCATAGAGCCATACTACGGCTGTATGAAATGCATACTCCTGCAATATCTTGGTCTCAGTAGTTTGTGGGTAGCCAAAGTCCATCATCTCATCTAGCAGTTCGTAGATGACGACAAAGTTGTCTCTTATGCTCTCTTCTTCGAGCTCTTTGAAGTATTCTGTAAAGACCTCGACGATCTTGTGGAGGAACAAGAGAATCTCGGCGGCATTGGTGTTGCGCTTGGTCAGGGCGAGGAGGTAGAGGTTGTTGTGGCGGATGTAGAGGTAGTTGATGCCTTCGCTGGAGAAGCATGGTGGGACTGCCGAGCTCTCGTCTTCGGCCTCGCTCAGTAGGATGGGAAATTTCTCGACGGCTGACATGGGGATGTCACCGCGGTAGTTGCGCGCCAGAAGGGTCTATGCGATGGTCAATAGGTAGCCCTCCCAGAGGCCTGACCGCCATACCTTGCCCTTCAGGTCGAGAAAAAACACCGCCGACGCCATGGTGAGAGAGTGTGAGTGATGTAAAGAAGAGAAGAAGAAGAATCAGCTATCGGGTCATGGTGCGCAAGGAAAGGGCGATCGAGGGGTATGCGTGCTATGTCCTGGTCGCGTCTCGGTGATGCCAGAGTAACTGCGGCTCTTCCCGCCCGCCAAGACTCCTCAACGCACTAGGCCCATACAGTCTCCAACACTGGCTGATGCCCAAGTTCCTTCAATCTTTCCTACCCTATTTGCTCTTGATCCACAGAGCCCTTTTCCTATGCCATCGAGTTGCAATCGCGATTCGTTCACATATGATCATACTGTGGCGAACCGCCTTAGCTGAGACAGGCTACGCCCCGCGTTAGCGAACATCAGGTAGCAGAATGGCCGCCCCTCAGGCTCAACATCTGCTTCGTCATCGGATTACAGCTCCATGCTGTCACAATGTCACTTTGCCATCTTTGCAGCGGTCTTACTTTCTCGAATCTCTATCCCCCGAACTTCTATCACCATGCCGATGATCTGGCTGCACTGGAAGCGTCGGCCGCAGGCTGCCGTCTCTGCAGGATGCTGCACGGATGCATCAATGACGACAATTATCTTTCACCACAACAAGAACTTCATTTCGAAGGCGCCTCTGATTACTGGTTCAGATCCCTTAAAGCTCTCCAAGCGACTTCTGTAAAATTGCAAATTGTCCCAGGCGCATTGCGTGGGTGGCACCCGGAGATGAAAGGCTCTTCATACGTAGGTATCTGGATCAAGTCCAAATGGATGGTAGCGTGTATGGTCCTTTCGGTCGAGGAAGGTACTGAAACATGTCGATCTACCTTCCGTTATCTAATAACCCTCTCTAGGTGATGAGTTGGGCTCCGAGCCCATCCTGCCCGGCAAAGAGCACACCTTTGTTTCCGGTCGTGTCCAACTGAACGAGTTGCCTTCCCAGGCCTATTTCGATGTCATCAAGCGCTGGTTGGTCAACTGTGAGGCCAATCACGCAATGTGTGACAACGATGTCCCAGAATTGCCAAAGCGAGTAATATATGTGGCCGAAGAGGGTGAAAGTCCATATCTCGTAGCAGGAGAGGGACTATACGCTCGCTATGTGGCTCTGAGTTATTGTTGGGGCCATTCAAGAGAAGGGATGACCACGACCAAGAACCTGGAAGCACATATGCATGCCATAGATTGGACAATGCTTCCGAAGACGTTCAAAGACGCCATAATCACCTGTCGTCAGCTTGGAATCAAGTACATATTCATCGACAGGCTGTGCATTGTGCAGGATTCGAAAAAAGACTGGGACGAGCAGTCGGCGCTCATGGGCTCGATCTATCATGATAGCACCCTGACACTGGCAGCTTCAGTATCCAATGACTCCTCAACCGGGCTCTTTGTTCCGTTCAGTCCCTCTGAGAACTTCACAAAAGATGTTGTCGTACTACCACCTTCATTCGGGAACCGCAAAGGCCGAGCTTTCCTCACTGCCTCGACCTTCGTCAATGGAGAAATACGTCTGGCAGTGGACAAGACGAAATCCAACGTCTTGGACACACGAGCATGGGTGATGCAGGAGAGGCATCTGTCCCAAAGAACAATCTGTTTCCTTGGACGCGAGGCTATATGGTGCTGCTGCGAAACGATACAAGATCAAAATGGGCAGCTCATGAGCACTTCCCTCGACACTCTGAATGTACGGACAGGACTGAGAGCACTTGCCAGGGCTCACTTGAGGCCCTGGCTCTTTGAGGAGCCAAAAAGTGAGCGGTATGAATGGACAACAATATGTTCAGCAGACAGCTTCGTCTGCAATGTTAAGCAAGTGAATGCTATGGATGAAGGCCCTTCTCTCGATACATCAAATCCACTGCCTATCTTGGTTCATATCACGAAGGGCGGAAAGACCCACCACGTCCTCGATCTGCGCGCGCCTTGGCATCGCACTCCTACTCCACCGACCTTAATTCAACCAAGCGACGACCCTCCCTTCTACACATTCCTCCTACACATTATGCAGACCACTATATATAACCTATGGTACTCCGCAGTTGAAGAGTACAGCATTCGCCGGCTTACGTTCTCATCAGACAAGCTACCAGCCATGGCTGGTATAGCATCGCGAATACAAGCCGTTACACATGATGAATATCTCGCCGGCCACTGGCGCAGAGAGATGGAGCGCTCGCTATTTTGGTCTCCTTGGTATGAAGATCCATTAGATCTGCGTGATCCTCCTGCGCGCGCGGCCGAATATCGAGCGCCTTCTTGGAGCTGGGCGAGCATTGATGGGCGCATCCAATCGTTCTCCTCCAGACTAGCACCTGGCAAAGCAACTCCTCTGCCTATCCAGATAGTAGAAGCAAGTACGCAAGTCGACGGCACGAACCCTTTTGGATCCGTTACCAATGCGAGATTCGTGATCAGAGCTCGCTGCATGAAAGCTTACTGGAATGTCGAACGTAGAGACTTCCAAATGGCAGGATCCTTTACGACCTCGGAGCCTAATATGAGTTTGGGCGCATTACAACTTTCCAGCCAAAATATTCTTGACGGAACTCCGGTTGGGTACTGGTTCTATGACGACCTAAAGCACGGTGTACTCCCTGGCCCGCCTCTTAGTCTTTCGCCTTCAGAAGAAGAGTTGAATCGCAGATTGACATGCCGATTTCCGCTGACTGCGGCCATATTTGACAAGTTCTATGAAACTTTCACGAAACTTCCGGTGCCTGAGAGAGTCACATACATTCCGGAGGAACTCACTATCGTCAAGGGATATACTATGAAATCTGGAAATGAACCGTACGTCGAGGTTCTGGTTTTGGCCGACACCCAGACCGGAAACGGTGTGTTTAGAAGGATTGGCAAAGGCAGACTGTATAGTTGGGATGAAGAGGTGGAGAGTGTGGAGGTTTTGACTATTGTATGAGCGAAAGTTTCCACCGCTTCGTCAATCTGGCTGCTGCGCGATCCTCTTCAAAGTTTCGACCACTCCAGGAGGATCATTGAGGATATCAGCCGGAAAACCATATGGACATCTCCTACACTGTCATTCACTCTGTATTGCCTGTTTGGCAATGTCTTCTTACGTTGCGCATGCTAGCAGAGCTCTCTCACAATGGGCCTCCGACACTACGGCGCACGTTGTAATCTGACAGATTGTCAGAGCAGGCAATGAAATGGCGACAAAAATCTTCACGAGTTCTACCCCACAGCAAACAAATTCCAGGCCGCTTCATTCGAGCGACACAAAGATACCGAAACAAGATGAGCGAAAACCCGTTTTCCAGCATTTTCAATCTCGTTCTCACAACAAGACTATATGCTTTTCCACGAGGCCCAATGGAGGAGCAAGAATTTCTGACCGCCGTGTTTCGTGTCCCATTGCAACGTCTGGGCTTTCCATCTCAGCCCATACCATCTCAAACCGGAGTATTTGATACATGGACCAACCGGGAAATCGATGACGTGGAAGACGCTACCTGGACAGATGACGATGATTGGAACGCGATATTCCTACGTGACAGCATAGAGGAGCTTTTTGATCAGCTTTATGGAAAAGACAGCCCAGTGTACGCCAACTGGAATGACCACGTCAAGCGTTCAATGGGGAAGGCTCACACCCTGACTCTTCTGGACGCAGCTGCAATCACTCCTCAGTCATATTGGTCTGAGGATATTAGAGCTACAGTGGAAGCATTCACTGCACTTCTTGAAGCCTTCCACAATGTCAAGGGAATTGTCTGGACTGATTACCCATACGACGACGCTCTTGATGGCCGCCTCGGTCGATGCAACGACTACGCCTTCATCCAGCGACTTATATTCAACGAGTGTCGTCTTTACGGAAAGTCGCTAGATGAATACGAAGCCAGCATGCGTCAAATACGGGAGAAATTCGGTATACCAGTGGAATTCGATCTCACCGAAGAACTGCAACGGGTTGAGATGGCCTATAACCAGCAACACTACAGAATCGAAGAAGCTTCTTCGGAAGCGCTACAAATGGAATTGGTAGGCCCGATGATTTCCGTCACCGATATATCCTCAGAGATAGACAACCCGGAAGGTATAGATTGCGTAGTTTGCTGGTCTGACATCTGCCCCTCCGCCGGAGTACTAACTGTTCCTTGCCAACATGCCTATCACAAGGAGTGTCTGGAACGCTGGATCCACGCTGCGCAAGGAGCTAGCCATCTTTGCCCCTACTGTCGCACAGAGTTGTTTCCCAAACCGGAGTATCGGCCCAAGGATGAGGAACGTTTTCGTAACTACGAGCAACAGCTTGACGACTTTGAGGACCAGATGTACTGGCTCTCTTGGATACAGAAGTCGGCGGATTGGTTTGGGGGTGAGCTGGCGATGCAGAGGCGGTATGAGAGCTCAGAGATGAAGAAGTTGGACTTACAGTGGCTTCGAAAGATAGGCGCACTCATTGCTTCGGGTAGTTTGGGGAAGAGATAGCTTCACTCGCGGGACCTGTGGCGCATAACTAGGTAATCGGCTGTGATTTTAATATATTGACTGTAGAAGTAACTTCTCGTACAACATAAGATGCACCTGGACTTTGCGAGGTGAAGGATAAGAGGCACGTTCGGCAAAACCGTCCAGGTGATCAGCTGCCACCGATCACCTCAGCATACCATGATGGCTACATAGTCAGCATGGTTCATGGTCCTTTCCTTACTTAATTATCTGCACCTGTAGTCGGGTTATTCTTTCACCCCGCGACAGGCACCAGTCACGTGCGGGGTGTGAAAGGGCTGCCCCACTCAGGTCGCTCCGTCCTCGTGGTAGAGCAAACACGTGAGGCTGGTACCTTCCACTTCCGAACCCCCCACTTCATCACGCTCTCGAGTTATCACAACCGTGGAAATTCCATAGCACTCTCTGCAAGCTTGCGCAATCATGTCCGCCGAAGCTCAAGATTTGGTACCGCCAATAAACCAGGCGCCGGCGAGCGCCGCAGGTACGTAACTCACCTACATGCCCTGCATCGACCCTGAAATTTATTTACGCCGTACCTCTTCATTTTGAGATCCTCTGCTAACGATGGCAGTATATCGACGTGTGCGTACACACTTACGTAGCTTACGAGACCTGCGCAAGTTCGGGTACAGGCACAAGAACCCCAAAGACGTACTTGCCATGACACCCGCGGAACTGCGGAAGCTAGAGCAACAGCACTTTCCAAGTCCAGCAAATATCTCTCGTCTCACCGGCATAAGCGATGAAGAGACTGAACAACAAGCCGATGCCGCGCGGCGGTGGCTACTGGGTATGCTCGACTGCCATGACAGAACAATGACCCGGGAACACGAGATCAGAATGTTTAGATTCGCTGTGGAGAAGCAGATGGAAGAACGAGAGAAGGACTGGACAGATCTGGAACGACTGTACATGGCACTCGCAAACTACAATCTCGCGTCGCCGCAAGAGCGATTGCAGGCAGCTTTCGTGACCGTCCTTCACTTTGACTACCCGCAACGCTGGCGAGATATTAATGAGGTCGCCTCAAAACTTGACGAGCGTCTGAAGCGTGCCTCCGACATGGACGCCGGGATAGATGAGACGCGCGAGGTTATACTCGCCAGGACTGAATTCACCAACGTCGACCATTTCGCGTGCGCAATTCCACTGTCACTACTCACTGCCACAGCAAACAACGCTTCTGTCGTCGATGACAACGCCGGCTGCTGCCCGATCTGCCAACTCTCATACACCTCATTCCAAGATTCCTCTATCCTACAACTATTGGGTGACTATCCAGTGCGTATCAAGCAATGCGGTCATATCATCGGAAAGTCATGTCTAGAGCAGTGGATGAGAACTCCAAAGATCGATGAAGCGAAATACCCACATCGCACATGTCCGTGCTGCCGTGTCAAGATCGAAGGTGTGAAGTCGCCCTCAGTACCTCGTGGGCTACTGGATCATTTGAAGACCGATCGACGGGCTATGGAGACAGTTCGAGAGTTGTTGTACGGGTATGATATGGACCTGGAAGAGTGCCTGAGCGCCATCAGCGCGTGCATGAGCGAAGAGATCGCCTGCGAGGAGCTGATGGCTGAGCTTGGACGGAATGGTGGAGAGCAAGACGATCAGATACTGAAGGACAAACTTGCGAATCTGGAAAAGGAGAAACGGGCTTGGGGATTTAGGGGAAATGGAATTTGGAAGAAGCTGCGAGAGGAATGGATGAACAGCGGTGTTACCCGGAAGGCTTGAGGAGGAGGACCGCCCTTCCTCTGGATGTCGCCGGGAGTCCTTTGGTACTGCTCGGACTTTCGGACTCATGTTCAACAAGAAACACAATACTGTGGGCTCGGACGAAGGCATGCGGATCTCGTGGATATTGGAAAGGGCCGAACAAGCACCTCGTATCTAGGAGCGCTTGGCTCACGAGGCAGTGCAAGCTGATGAGGCATTTTCTTTCCACCATTTCAGTCTCTCTCGAGTATACTCCGTAGTACATCAAGCTTCACGAGGAAGCTCGCTCAACAGCCAAGCAATGATAGATCGACATACCAAATGTTAAAAACCACGCATCACGAGGGGTAAACTGCCCCGCCGATTGAGAAATATCGCGCACACAGCCCCCGTCTTTCAAGTGTAGCCTCGTTCAACACCAAGTAAGGGCGTGCATGTGCATACACCGGCAACAAGCATCCTCAGCGCGAGGTCCGTTTGCTCATATATAATTCTGGGGCCCGCCGTTCGCGCAACCCAGATCACGACGTCACGTGCCCCACATAATGACCCTTGATTTCTCCACGTTCTCCGTGCTCTAGACCCAGAAGCAGCTACACACTTGCGCATCTCCACGGTCTAGGCTATTGAGGCTGAGTACATAAGCCAATAAACTGTGGCGCGGGCGGGTTCCTGATTGGTTCCAGCGTATGCAGGTAGGAAGGGTAGATGACGTCTTTGTTTGTGAGGGTCGCGTGTGCCGCCCGCTTATCAACGCAAGCAGCTGTTGCTGGGCAAGGCTTGGCCTATGACGATGTATAATGCGTGTGAAAAACAAACATAGGGAGCCCCCGTTCTGTCGCTGCTGCTGCTACTACATCCCACGCGAAAAACTCCATTCATTACGCAAAAACCAAGTATGAGCGTTAACATTATTGACGTTGGTGTCAGCAGGGTGCGTTGTGTGTTCCTTGCATGCTTCTTCCCGCTCTTCTAGATGCCGGTTCTTCCGAGCTGAGACCGAGATCCCTCTGTACACCTACTAACGTTGTTCCCCACAGATTCTGGGTGCGAGAGAAGACCAGGAAGACCGTTATGTTACGCTGACACCGGGTTCAATCAAGTCACGGAAAGAACTCGCTGTCTTTGCCGTGTATGATGGACAGTAAGCAGCGTCACACAAAATCCCAAATGTTGTGGCTTGTAAGCTAACGACTGGGTCGCAGTGGGGGTACAGAAACAGTAAACCATGTTGCAGAGCATCTGCACACACACCTGGAACAGCACATCGCCATCCAAAAGCCGTCCAATGTAGCCGAGTATAAACACGCGATACAAGGAGCTCTGCTGGCTGTCGACCGCGATCTAGACCACGCCAACCTAGACGGAGGCTCAACCGTCTCTCTCGTTCTCATCGACACAAAGCAGAGCTTGCTCATACAAGCAAACCTAGGAGACAGCCACGTCTTCTTCGCAGACCACGAGCCCCAATCCCCACAATCGCTATCACCCCAGTCCCCCACACGCGTCGACTCCGGCGTCAGCTCCAGCGGCTGGAACGTCGAAGCCCTCAGCGAAGAACACGCCCCCGACAGCCCACTCGAGAAACGGCGCGTAGAAAATGCCGGCGGCGAAATCAACTACCGCTCCGGCATCGCCCGCATCGGCGGCGTGAGCATGTCGCGCGCCCTCGGCGATCTGGACTACAAGAAACCGCGCGTGAACCGTCTAGCAGGCCACGACCTCTCCGACCTCATCGGCGTAGAAACCGGTCTCGCACCAGGCAAAACCGCAGTTCACGACCTCGTCTCCAACAAAGCGCATTTCACCACTCGCACCCTACACGGCCAGTCGCTCATCCTCCTCGCGTCTGACGGCGTTGGTTCGGCGAAGGAGGCGGAGGAATGCACACGGCTGGCGGTGGATGCGTGGCAATCTGGGAAAGAGGCCAAGGAGATTGCGGAGGAGTTGACGTCGAGAGAGGGGCAGATGAAGGGCGCGGATAATTGTACTGTGCTTGTTGTTGTGCTGGATACGGAGAGTAAGGGGAGGAGGAGTATAGATAGTGGGAGAAGGAGTATGGATATTGGGATGGAGGGGGGTGGGTCGAGGAGGAGGAGGCGGTCGAGTATTGCTAGCTTGAAGGACTGGATACGGGATCGTTAGGTGACGGTTCGACGGGGCGCGGCTGGGTGGTATGGGATGTGGGGAAAAGTTTGATCGGGTTGAAGGGGAAGGGGGGTTACTTGGGCTTGATCGGCCTGGTTTGAGGCAGCAATGGCGTTCTGGTTGAGGCGGATGTACGCCTCATAGTTCTTTTTTTCTACTGCTGTATCAATATATCAATATAACACAGAGTCTGCTGAAGTGTGAACGGTAGCACACTACGATCACTTTTCTTGCTCATCTTTCGCGTGTCTTCAAGTGCTTCTACGGTTCGAGCCCTGATCCTGCTGGACCATGGGCGACAACGAAGGTGAAGCCTGTGCATCTGAACAATGCATACGGCATGTATGATGATTGTGGTTCAAAGTGCACCAACGCAAACGATTTGATCAACATCATCAATACCAAGAGTCGAGCACTGATTCACCACCTCAAGAAGAAGATTGATCAAAGACTTCATTATCATCGCTGCATGCCGCGCTATTGCGCTACTATGCTCATCCGCCATTCGCTCGATCGTTTCAACCATCGCTAGTACGACTAAACGTATCAACTGGTTCTCAACTCCTACCATGAAAAGCGTTGAACATCGAAGAGGGGGTATATCCATGCATGCCAGGTCAAGCTCCTAAACGCCTGGAACAAATCTCTGGAATACAACCAGAACCATTGCTCCCATCTACGAATTCAAGGGATCCATCTTTTGCAGGGATTCGCTCTTTTGAACAAGCCAAGTCTGCGTCGCCTAAACCTTCCGTCCCTTCGCCATCGTAAGACCGTGCATCAGCGGATCCTCATCAACAGTCCAAGTCTGAGCATCAAGCCTCGCCCGCTTCTCTTCGCGCGACTCACCGAATGCCTCAGCCCTCTTGCCACCCTTCTTGGTACTCTGCATGAGCTCCACGGACACAGGAGTGCCAACACGAGAGCCGCCAACCGCAGGAGTAGGCAGCGAAGTATCAGTAAGAGCAGGCGGGGAAGTAACCTCATCATCAGCGTCAATCTCGTTGAGCTGACGCTGCGCCTCTTCACGCTCCTGCGACCAGATGTCATGCTGATCTTTGTACTGCTTCTCCATATTCGCGAACCAGTCTTTCTGCTCCGCGCTC